CGGTGACACTTTTACCTGAAAATTTTTTGTTTATCAGTGAGCTCACCCCCCCACCTACCTTGCCCTAAAGTTTGGCACGTTACTTCTGGGACACCCTGTATATCCAGTGCACTATTTGGGGTCTGAGAATCCCAAGATTACGCCCAAGTTTTTCATTTCATTACAGAGCGACGCCGTTTAATGTAGGAAATTTAAAGTCCTCACGATACTCCATGGTTTTTCCAAAAAATAGGTTTTGTCAAATCTATTACCACCCAGCTATTTTTTTCAGTCACAAGGGGGCTAAATTGGGAGAATAGGTTGGATGGGGTGGGGTAATATTTCGTAGCCCAATTTATGGATTTTCGCTATGGTGACAACACACATGTGCACCCGTGCATTGCATTGTTGGAAGAGTACATTAGGCGTATTCTCTGAGTCTTGCAAAGCCCTTGCACGGTGCACGGAATGCACGGTTTGCAAACATGAACCAAAAAGACAAGATCACGCGGGCAGGAGAGTAGCCCGTTAGAATCGCATTAAGGAAAAAAGTTTAACGAATTTGACATTAGCCGTTTATTTACATTTCTTCGTTGTTTACAATTTGGTGGGGGCTTTTTACTGCAATTTTCTTCATTTTCGCTTGTGACAACGTGTGTACACATAACATAATGAATAATTTAACACAACGGCATGATTTTTAGAAAAATTTGCATAATAAAAATGATTTTTCATGCGTTCAACAATTTCGCGGTTTTCTCCGTTCTCTTCGTTGTTTACTTCTTACAGCAAAGATGGCGTCGAGATTTCGGCAGCTAGAAAATAACTTTTTTCGTTCTTTCCTTCCCGCGTGATCTTGTGTCTTTCGTTCATCGGTTTGCAAAGCTGTCCCATACGAAAACCGGTTTTTACCGTGCAATCTGTGCACCATGCAAGGGCTTTGCAAGACTCAGAGAATACCCCTATTATTCTTCGCCAAATACGGTCGTTTCTGCCCAAAACCTCTAAGCAGTTTTCGGCGGTGATCAATTTACCCTTTTCAAGGCAGTCGCTGTATATGACCCCGCGTGCATTTCAAAAAACTGTGACCATGACATTGTTGGCCGACAGACCACCATGACATTTTTTTTGGTCTTTGGTGTGGTGTGATGGATGTACGTTTTGTCTACGGTAACGAAACGCCAGAAACACTCGTTCGGATTGTGGCTAAACAACGCCAAACGCTCATTTGAAGTGGTCACACAGTTGTGTTTATGGTCGAGTGTGAGCAATCGCGGCACATACAAATATTCAGTTGGGATGCCCACTGGCTCAGCCACTTTATATACTTCCATTCTCCGATTGTCCAACAACATTTTATGCATTTTATCGACGATTTCTGGCGAGACGACCTGAAGCGCGGCGTCACTTGTAGTGTTACGGCCACATTGGATTTCTAGATTTTGTTTTAAAACTAAAAATATTTTTTTCTAATTTTTTAATTTAATTTTCTTTGTTTATTACTTTTTATCGTTTTACAATGAAATATTTATTTATATTCTTTTAATTAAATTAAATAAAAAAATAAATATATTGATAAAAGGCGAACCTCCTAAAACCTCCTCGTTAGCAGGACTTTCAATTATTGTTTTGAAGGACAGTAAAGAGCTTCCATGATAGTTGACAATTGTCTTACGAAAAGACTTACAGCCAGAATTGCCCTGTAAATAGCGCAGCTTGATCAAAATTTTATAGTAGTCTATTAANACAAATATTCAGTTGGGATGCCCACTGGCTCAGCCACTTTATATACTTCCATTCTCCGATTGTCCAACAACATTTTATGCATTTTATCGACGATTTCTGGCGAGACGACCTGAAGCGCGGCGTCACTTGTAGTGTTACGGCCACATGGGATTTCTAGATTTTGCTTTAAAACTAAAAATATTTTTTTCTAATTTTTTAATTTAATTTTCTTTGTTTATTACTTTTTATCGTTTTACAATGAAATATATATTTATATTCTTTTAATTCAATTAAATTAAAAAAAAAAATATATATATTGATAAAAGGCGAACAGTATAACGCTAAAACCTCCTCGTTAGCAGAACTTTCAATTATTGTTTTGAAGGACAGTAAAGAGCTTCCATGATAGTTGACAATTGTCTTACGAAAAGACTTACAGCCAGAAATGCCCTGTAAATAGCGCAGCTTGCTCAAAATTTTATAGTAGTCTACTAATCGATGGCACTTGACGGGAGCAGTATATCGTTTATAGTTAGAGCGCGGGAAATTCAAAAAATCGTATTTCTAAGTAAATATGTACTTCCACGCATCTATCTATTTATTAATTCTCTAGTATTAAAAATTTTGTATTTAAATTGCAACTTTTCATTTGCACAAATCGCAACGCAAAAACAAATGAACAACAAACATCGACAGCGTTGGTTCGATTATAAATTGCGCTGGGACCCTGAGGAATATGGTGGTGTTGAACAACTTTATGTGCCATCCGAGCACATTTGGGTGCCAGACATAGTGCTCTACAACAACTGGGATGGCAACTATGAGGTGAGTGATGGCTATAGCAAACAAGAATTGCAAATTAATTACAATATTGAAAAAATAAAAATCAAAGTTATGGAAATTATACGCCACAGAGTCATATTTACTAGAAGTAATACAAAATTGTTGTCAATGTAATTTAGTTTTACTCTCCATTTATCTACGTACGTATGGATGTTAATTTTTTCGATTTTTGCAATCCCGGAATTGTTGGTTCAATCCCGAGATCCCAGGATCAGTCCCGGGATTTATATATTTATTATTTTTCAATGACTTCTCCTACCATATAAGAAATAATAAGTAAATGGGTTTGGAACGTACTTTTTTATTTAAAGTGAAAATTATTTCATAAGTAACAAAACGACAGACAGTAATTAAATTTATATGCATTAATAATTATACTTTAGTGTGTGTAAAAAAAATTTATTTTCTGGTTGAAAGAAGTTCATAATTCTAGTGGCAGAAATAAAAGAAGCGCCTTACCTCCAGTTTTGTCTATATTCCCTTTGCTTATCCAAAATTTACATTATTTTATAAAAGTTCATACTACACATAATTAACTACATATGTATAAATGGGCATTTCTCTGACGGAATGATTTTTTTAGAAGGACTTTATCGAGCCCAAAATTTTATTATTGATGCAGAAATATTCCTAGAGCATCAAGAGGCATTTCTGCATCAAAACGAAAATATTGAAAAAAAAATGTCGCTTACGTTATTTTAGCGGTTAGGGCTCGTTATACTTTGATCGATAAGGTTAATTTCAAGATTTCAGTGCAATGTAAAACAAAAGTATGGGTACCAAATGAACGGACGAATAGGAATTGAAGATGCCCCTTTATTCTAATTTATTTTTTAAGCTAATAAAGTTAGTCCTTAACATATAATTTTTTCAAAAATAAGAGTTGAAAAATTGCAAGGATATTCAAGGATAAAATTTTAAAAGGAAATTTTCAATACCTACCCGTCCCTTACGTACCCAAAAATGTAATGTGTTTTAACTACACAGAATCTTCTCTTTTATTTTATACCCATTCTGGGTTTTTAAATATATTGCAGTGAAATTTTTAAATAATTTTTTTTAATTATCTTTCAAATTTCAAAGTTCTTTTTAAAAATCCTGACGTCAGAGAGAAGAATTAAGAATGCAATTTTACTATATTTGGCCCTTGGTTTGACGAATATATTGATTTTTTTTTGTGTGCAAAATTTCCTGCCGCAAGGTATCATATGTATATTGAGCTACACATTTATAAAAAAATGTTAAATATTAAATAAACAAAAGAAATATAGCCAAAACTGGTCAACATAAAGCGTTTCTATTATTGCCACCAGTGTAAGTTCCAAATCCCGAAAATCCCGGGATTCTGGGCAAATAATCCCGGGATTTTCGAGACTTAAAAAAGACCGGGATTAACATTCCTAGTACATATATACATATATGCGCTTTTACTCCTCATAGGTAACACTCATGACAAAGGCAACACTAAAATACACTGGCGAAGTCTTTTGGGAGCCGCCGGCTATCTACAAGTCATCCTGCGAAATGAATGTCGAATATTTTCCGTACGATGAGCAAATCTGCTTCATGAAATTCGGTTCATGGACATACAATGGTGCACAAGTGGATTTGAAACATTTAGATCAGGTAAGCGTACAGGCAAGCGGGGTAGTGAGCATATGTTGCTCAAAGCAACCGAAGTCATAGCAATAAAATAAAAAATATTTTGTATTTGGATTGTGGTTTTTAACTTTTGCTACGCTTTCTGCGAATTGTTTCATTCCTAAATGCAGACAAACTTGAGTCCATTCATGTGTACATATTTGTATGTACATACGTGTGTGTAGCGTGTCTCCTGGGATACGTTTAAACTTTCATCCATTTACACCACAATTGCAATTTATGCGCCACAACTGGACAAATACCAACATACAAAATATGTGTAAATATAAAAGTTACCAATAAAATGCTTAAATAATTTTTGTTTATTCCGCTTTCGTATATACATATGTATGTGTATCAGGGATGTTTCGAATGTCATATTTTCGGAGTGCGAATTTTCGGAGTGTGAATGTGCGAATGCGAATGCGAATGTTTGGAATAGCATTAAAAAAGCTATAATCAACTTAAGTCATCGTTTTTATTGCTTCAACATTTTGTAAATTATTAGAACAGTGAACGAGTGCTTAACACTGATAGGGTTTTAATCTAGTAGTTAAAGTTCAAAAGGGGCATATTACATTTCAGAAAAAGTAATTTTGCTGCCTTTTATCCCATAAGGCGATTTCTTAGAAGCTTGTATATAAGGCCGGCTGCAATAAACAATTGCTCACTTGGAATCACCAATCGAGAGGATTTTCACCGAGATTTTCACCGTTTTTCTTTAAGATAGGCCTTCAATTGAGCTTTAATTTCACATTTTTTAATGTCTGCAGATTCTACATGCGAGCATTCGCTTTCGCTGGAGGAATCTAAAATTATTTCTACGTAGGTTACTTATAAGACTTTTAGCAGTACTTGTTGAAGGCCCATCAATGTTGCTTGATGCCGTTTAGCGCCTGAAGCTAAAAGCCGGTTATTGTCCGCACCCTGGTTAGACAGACTTAGAGCAATTTCAACCATTTTAGAGTGGACTCTCTGCCCATGTACACATTCGCATTCGCAAAACATTCGTATAATTTGATGCGAATGCGAATGTGTAAAACGAATACGAATGCAAATAATCGCAACATCCCTGATGTGTATCGTGCAGCGTGGGTGTCAGCTTCCTCGGCTGGGATTATTTGTTTGATTCGCTGGCTCGCTTGTGCCACAGGTTCCAGTTTAACTTTGCTTGATTGGATTTTTCTTTACGAAATATTTAGCTTTGTTATAAATTTTGATCTCTAGACTACAGAGGTGTTACCCAGCGAGGGAGCATGGATACATACATACTATGTAGTTGAATAGTTTTTAAACACCGAATGACAAGACCTTATTTCTCATTTGTGTAGCTACATACAAATTTTATCATTCATTTATAGGGGACGTGTGATTGACCTTTAAGTCAATTTTATTTCGCGAATAAAGAATAGGATGTGACATTATCTAGAAAGTCATAAATATACATATAACTTATTTTTAGCTTTAAAATTAAAATTTTTGGAAATCAAGTTTATAAGTTTTTTTACGAGACTCAACTCTGCATTTATGTAATCGACATTGTAAATATGTGGTTTCCGTTTACGCATGATATTTTGGGTTCTGGCATAACACAGGTCATCCAAAGGTTAATCAAGTCAACCCAATAACTCAAAATTGATGAGAAATGCTTCAAACGAAAAGTGTAAGTTTTTGGGACAGCATAAAAGATTGCATAGATTGTATATAATTAAGGTACTCACATCATTATCAGCGTCTTTCGATTAATTAATTTTTAATCCTTTCTTCTGTGACTGGTTTGAAAAATGTGTGCTTATAGCGAGGTTTTAAATAGGTGGATATTGCAAATAAAATGTTATTTCTAGGAATGAAAATTTTTAAGAAAATTATGTTCTGAAAGCCGTGGCTGCCAGCCGAATTAGTTTAAAATCTTGTTATTGTGTTAGTAGGGCACCCCTTATTTATAATAATATGAATTATTGGAATCACGATGAAGGTCTCAAATCTACTTAGTTCACGGGTAACTTCTTAAAAAGGTTCACCTGTAACGAATAGCTTGTAATTAGTTTTTTTATTAGCTAAGCTAGTTGCAGGCAGTCACAATTAATTACTCACCGCTGTCGGTACCGTAACGCTACGCGCACACTGCAGCTGGCATCGACCGATATCGGCTATATGCGGGCGATATGAACAAACACTTGTGATTATATGAGCGCTCTCACACATATGTAAACCGATAATCGAACCGACATCGACCGTTGACGTCCGTCAGTGACTATAAATTCAAACATGTTGGTTTTCCTCGTCTGATGTCAGATGAAAAGTACCAATTTGGACTGCGAAAAATTAACTTATTGGGTGCAAAAACAAAAACAAAAAATACAAATAAAATCACATGTTTAAAGTATGTCAATTAAAATGTATCAAAATATTTCACTGCTTACAAAATTGTAATGAAAATTAGATTTGTGTGTACAAATACGGCCGAAATCGGTCGTCCTTTCGGATGCAATGTTCGCCGTAGTTTGTGACGGCCTTTTGTATTTCATTAACGATATATTGCATTCCAAGTCCCACTTCTCAACAGATATTAAATTCGGCCTGAATTAATTCTTGTTTGATTTGTGTACTTGCCTGACAACTTTTTCACATTCCATTTTATTTTTATTTCGCTGTGTGCAAATTTTGACAATTATCACAAAATTATAATAAATGTACATAGTTGTTTTCGAGCGCACACAGAAGTATTTGCGTAGTAAAACCGGTCACAATTATTTGGTGTGATTTTCCGCTAAGTTATAAAAGAAAACACGGAACTTAATCATAATAAGCCGTTTTATGAAAAAAAAAATTTACATTTATCTATGTAAGAAAAAGTAGAAAAAACTAGCGATGCACTCAGTTTTTTAATAGACCTTTGACAAATAATATTTGATAGTTACATAATTCTTACCTAATTAAAGATTATCTTTTACCGCGCAAATAGCCGATTCTTTTTATAGCTTGACGTTGAATATTTCCGCTGGAAGTATCTATTGAAGGATCTTACTAGGTGTGTGCAGTAAATGAAGAAGAAGAGAAAACTAACAGAAAAAGTTATTGAACACAAAACTAGTAAAAAATTGCAGGTGAACAGTGTTACGCTGTTTTGACACATTTTTACAATTTATAAATCACTTTCAAACTCTTTGCTTTACACACAAACACTTACACTTTACTTTTGTTTACGCTTAACCAATTCAACAAATGGCGGCTTTTGACATTTATTCTTGTTCTTCTTCTGTTAGTTAATTTCTGCTAGTAAAAATTTCACTAGCAAGAATTTGCAGCTCCCTCGTGTTATTACGCTCTCGATTAAGTGCTCTCTTGCACCTTTTTTGGTTATTATACTCTTTTCCAGTAAAAATTTGCAGTCTCCAGTACAACTTAGTACTGACCTACTATTTGACTTTAAATTACAAAAGAAGGGGAACAGTTTTAAAAATATTGGCTACAATTTGTCATTTTGTTTGTCAGATATGTATACGTTTTATCAGTGAACTTGCACAATATTCGCATTCGCAAAAGTTCCGCATTGGTTATTGCGAATGTGAATGTTAAAATTAATGCGGAAGCTCCGTGGTTGCGAATATTCGCAACAACCCTGATATGTATGTATGTATGTACTACCATATCGACTACTGAGTGGAAGATCGACCTATCTCGACAGCCAGTTCGAAAACGCCCTATCTCAAAAAACTTTTCAAGAAAGCCCTATTTCAGAATTTTATCGAAAAACACTCTATCTTATCATTTGGTTGAAGAAGGCCCTATTTCAGAATTCGATCCAAAAATGCCCCATCTCACTTCAAAATGTATTGAAAATGTGCTGATATAGGGAGTTTTTGAATCGGCAGCTGAGATAGGGCATTTTTGAAACGAATTATGAAATCGGGCGTTCTTCAACCAAATCCTGAAATAGGACGTCTTTGAAAAGTTGTTTGAAATAGGACGTTTTCGAACTGGCTGCCGAGATAGGTCGATCTTCCACTCAGTAGTCGATATATTTGTATGAGGTGATCATTTCTCTTATTTTATATCTTTTTTTTTATTTGATGAGCATACTTATGAGGGTATCAGTTATGTTCATTCGCAAAGTAAATGCTTTTTAAAGAGAGCATAACGTCGATTGCGATACTGATGACCCAAGCTGTTCAAAATAATAGTAGTGGTTACCTTAACGCAGTTAAAACTAAAGATATAGCTAATGATTTGTACTATGTTTTGTTTATTTGTGTCTGATACCTTGTATTAAATATTTCTCAGTTTAATTTGGATGTATTCTTGATGTTCCAGAGGGCTGCTAAGATCCGGATAGCGTCTAATACGCGTTTAAACCCATTTCTCTTTCAGCATTGTTATATCATTGTATTTGTTAATAGATATGTTGCTGTTATGATTCATTTAACCTTTCCTCGCAGACTTTCTATCCTTTTAAGGCCCACATATGGAATTCCTCTTTGCCTTATACCGATCACAAATAGGTTATTGTGTATTTTACTGGTATTTTTTAGCTCGTTAATCTATTAGGAAACTTTTTTGTTGGTATTTTTCAACATTCATGTAGTACTACTTAATATGATTTTCTATAAAATAAAGTAAATTTTTTTATCCATAATCGACGGTGATCATATGGACAAGACAAGTACTAAACTACGGAAAACATGACCATAATGAAGAATAATGAAAATTGTGTGTCCAACTATTTTTTCTGAGGTTTTTTCTACATTTTGTCTTGATTTCTTGGCATTATTACCACTTCTCGCTTATCGATATCTTCCCGATTGCAAAAGAGGGTACCGTACTTTTAGTTATTTTACATTGAAAAATAGTCAGATAACTTGAAAACATCTAAATATGGTGACATTTTTTATTTCCTTAAAATGTTAGGGCTTTTGAACTTAAGCATTATAATTTTTTTGAACAGCTGGTTTTTGGTGCACATAGGCAAATGGCTCTTAAAATGGCAAATAGAAACAAAAGTGTCGATTTCCTTTTTACTTTCCGGTTTGTTATATTTTAAATTACAACATTTTATCACAACTCTTCGCATTGTAAAGCAGATCGTCCCACTATTATTTTTTTGAACACAACTGTATGTATGTTTGTTAGGGCAAATTTTGCAATAAATTTCTGACCAACTTCCCGATGTCCTAGAGACTTGAAACTTCACAGTTGGCTCAGAACCCGATGACAATGCAATAGGAAAGATGAGTCAATCCGATAGGTGGCGCACGAGCCGATGTATTTGGTAGAACAATATTTATGGTCAGATTTCGTTCATATTTAGAAAGTTTGCTTTAAAAATATTTGTTTTTACTATTAACTTACTTTTCATTTTCTGTGGACTTTACGTTCTTTGCATAAGATTTTGTAGAAAATTTTTTTAGAACATTTTAACCCTTTAGCGACCATTCTATCCAGACTTTACAAAGAAGTGGCCAAGCTACTTATTAGGCTCCGATATCCATTATAATCCTCTAATTTCACTTATTCTAAAAACACTGTTACTTAAATGTGGCTTTTTATGTACAGGACATTCACCTAAATGCTTCGCAACCGCGTAAGCCTCGTAAATAAACCGGTTACCCACACAAAATTAAGTAAGTTTACATGGTTTATGTGGTTACGAGGTATTTAAGAGTTTAGATGAATTGCCCTGTGGTTTGAAAACAACTGGTTTATGCATTTGTTTACTTCACAATCAAAACTTTTCATTTTCCATGTTGTCGAAAACTGAAACATTTCGCTATCCAGTTATTTAATGCTCTGCTTATGTTTTTGTAATTAGGTTCCTGGCAGTAATCTCGTGCAAATTGGAATTGATTTAAGTGAATTTTACTTATCCGTCGAATGGGACATACTCGAAGTTCCTGCAACTAAGAATGAGGAATATTATCCAGACACTTTGGAACCATTTTCTGGTAATGCAAAATTTTTACACATTGTGTATGTGAAAGAAATAAAAAACTGTATATAATAAATGTATATCATAATATATGTTTGTGTTAGAAATCGAAAGTTGTGCAACTCACCTTAGATGAATACTAAAGATTTCTTTATAATTAAACTGTAATTTATAAAAATGTTGATTGAAGAAAAAATTAACTAACTTTTTGTTTTAATTTTCGAAATCTCTTTTACAACATTTCTTCACAGATATTACATTAAGCTTACCATGCGTCGCAAAACACTTTTCTAACCGTTAATTTAATTGTACCATGTGTAGCATTGACATTTCTCACGGTGTTGGTATTTTATTTACCCAGCGATTCTGGCGAAAAGGTATCAAATCCAAATTCAAATTAGTCTTTGTATAAAATAAATATTTGTTTTTTGTTACATTTATATGTATGTAAGTACTTGCGACACACTTATGGAATTTCGTTTGCATGATTAGAATAAATAGAATAAGTAAATTTTGCATGCCCAAAGGTATTTTGTGTAGAAAGATTTTTTTCTGATTTATGTAGAACTATCTCTGTATATACATACTTATAGTGTACATACTCTGTTTCCTTTTAACGCTTTCTAATGCATGCGATCTCTTTGCAACTAATTTTAATACACTTATACTCTTCAAATACTTTCGAATCACACTATCATTGCACTCTTAAATTAAATCGTGAAAAAATTGGAAGAAAGTTAGCAGCACAAATAAATACATACGTAGGTGAATATAGAACTAAATATTAATAACATAAATAGATTTTTCTGCATTAAGGGTATTCACGAAACGCATTGATTGCATAATTGAATATAAACGATTAAGTTTCATAAGGTAGGCATATGTGAAGTTAAGGACCAGAATAGCCTATCTAAATATGTATATTTTTGAAAAAAAAAAAACGATGTTGCCTGAAATTCATAACAAGAAAATTGTTGCAATAACTCCGCATGATTTTCCCTTGATGTATTAGGTAGCAACAGATAGCTGCAATTACTTTCATAGATTTGACCCAATAAGTCTTAATAAAAATGTGTATTATTACACACCTCGTAACACTACACATTACGTCAGTATTCCCCAATTCTCCACCGAAATTATTTATTTTCAGATTGCTAATGCTGCTTTGTGACACATTTGCCAAAAAAAAAACGGTTAATAACTTCCTGAAAAGAATACGAATGTTTTTGAAACTAATTTGCGAAAAGAATGTTTAAGGCGCTATTCACATTAAGCAAAAAATTTCAAAATTGCAATCCGTAGATTCACTCAAGGATTTGCCTTTTTGCGAAGTCTTTGCGAATCGGCGCGAGTATCTTTGTAACAAACTAGTCATGGTTACGCTGCCGGAGATGAAATGTAATCCAAATTGAGGCTGCTATTTTTCACTAAATATTTATCACCATTTAAGTGCAAGCAAATTTCGACAGCTGCTAAAAAAATNATCCACCCTACTAAGCTGGATGCTAGCAGTTAGTCAAAACTTGGTAACTGCTGTAGTGGAATGGTTAAACACCTCTATTAAAAAAACTCCTTTTTTAGAAAATAATCGAAAACTATTTTGATTGAATTGCCAGTGGTAATCGGTTTATGCCAAGATTTTCGAAATTCAAATGACTAAGCAACAAGTTTGTGGACTAGTTTCGTGAGTACCACCATTCTTATTAAATTATCGTAATTTAATTCAATTTTTTTTTATTTTATTAATTAAAATTTTAAATGTTCCGATAAATCGTACGCGCAGCTCTGTAAGCGATTATTGGTGTCATAATATAACGCCAGAGGCATAACTATAACCGTAAACCAGCTCCATAACCATAAGCAGCTCTGAAGTATTTTGCTATGTTATGACTGAGGCGGTGGAGAAGCTCGGCCAAACACTAACACATGTGTAAGCGCCTATCTAGTATTATTATTATGGCTAAGGCATTATGGTTATGGCACCTAGTATGTTACGATATGACAAGAGCGAAAGCAAATTAAAAAAAAAAAAAATACCTACAAAAAGCATCTTGAATTAATATGGCAGAGAAAACGAATACGCAAAGTATTTGAAATAACAAAATTATTTTTGTAAACATTTTTATAACATTTTCTAACTGACTAAAAAAATGAAATTTTTCTAATTTGAATAGATTTATTTTCTAAACTAACTTTTATTAGCTTTTAAATAATTTTCAAAACTTTTAACATAATTAACATACCTATCACCTATTAACGCCGCATATTTTTGTATCAATCGCAATCAGCAGTTAATTTAAGCAAAGGCGTACTTTAGGTACAAAAAACTCCGAGTATTTCTAGAGGAAGTACGCGCTATGCTTAAAAAAGTAATGAAATCTCATAACGTAATTTCATCGAAAGTCAAAAATAGAGTAAAATATAACAAATAATAAAAATTAAGTTACTAAAAATTAGCACAAATTAAATCGAACACTCATCATTTCAAAAATCATTTCCGCAATGTCACTCGCCCGAACACAAAAAGCACATACATATATACATACATACACAGAGCAACACAAACACCAAACAAGCACAAAAACAAAAAAAAAGCGACAAATTCGCACAAAACAACAAAATAGTCAGTCGAGCCGATTGTCGTGGCCCTTTGATTGTAGAATTTTGACATTTGCAAACATTTTGACAGTTGGAAAATGTATGTTTGTATTTTCGTTAAAAAACTGTTTGTTTTTTAGTTGTAATTATTTTTGAGTAGAAACTGATTTTTTTTTTTATTGAATTGAAGTTGAAGCTGTAATACAAGTGAAAACCGAAGAGAAGTGAAATATGTAATTTTTACCAAATTGCGTTGCTTAAGAATTAATTAATTTGTTGTTTTCGTTTTGTAAATTGTCGGTATTGAATGTTGGTTGTAAATTGTTGTATGTACACTTGCACTATTTTTTTGATTTTTTTTTCGCTGAACTTGGGCCAATACAAATATGTCACTTGATCATGGAAATATTTTTTGTTAATTAAAAACTTACTGAAGAAATGTGTATCAATTTTTTTTTTTATGTAGGATTGAGACAAAATACCTAAAGTGTAACGTAATTTTTTCGAAAAACATACTACTTTAATTTTATTTTGAAATTCGAATTATTTTCGAAGTTACAGAAAAAGTGTTGGTACACTTCAGAGATTTGCTGTTATTGTAAATGGATAACAACAGCGCTTAAACAAGCAATTTTGCTAAGATTTGCTCTATTGGGTGACCGTTGAGGATTTGACAACATTGATTTGGGCATGAGTGATCAAGTTGGATGATGGTATTAATTGCCTGATTCACAATGAACTAAGGGAGATAATGGTAGAAAAAAATGTTACTGTCCGAGCTAAATGTCTACGACGTGCAAGGCATGGAAGTGTGACAGCCGCTTGTGGTATTCGCTTGTTAGGTAATCATTAGAAGCACAAAAGGCGGCCACTTTGACGAGGAGATAAGGCACGAGTACCATGATACAAATGCAGATTACCACCGTCGTTTTTGCATATACATTAGGGCATTCTATACCATTTCTACGAAAAGTTGTTTTTTTTTTCATACAAAATACATGGAAAAGTTTCAGCGCTTTGAGCGACCTCTAAATATTTTTTGATTTCAAAATAAAAAAATAGGGGTATATTTTCCGGCAAAGAACAATCCTAGAGGGTGAAAGTATTAAAATTAAGACATACTTTTTCACATGCATTTTTGGACCACCGTAATATACATACATACTATAAATTTCGGATGCGCTCGAGTACCACCAGTATACCCACCTGACTGTTTAATATTTTTTTCTAAATATTTTTGAAAGCCTGTAGAGGAGGAAGGGTATACATCATATGACCTGGTTTCTTCATATCATCTTATTTTCAAATTCCAAGACGCACTATGGGGCCACTACCGCAAAAACGATGTAAAAATAAACAAATTTCCTGGAACGTTCGATAATGCTAATATCATAATGGAGAATTTCCCAGAAATATAACTTTTATTAAAGACAGATTAGTAGTTTGCGAGATAGAACCACTCAAATTTGAAAATTTTTCCACACGGGAACAATTTTTACTTTTTGTTCTTCTTTGTCATGCTTGAGATTTATTTGTATGCGAGCAATTGATATTTTCTTGTATTTTAATGGATGGTTCGTTAGCTTCAAATATAAACTACAAAATTTCTGTTTTTCCAAAAATGTGTACGAAAAACTTAAATTTAGAGGTCGCTACCGCCGCTTTTCACCAATTTCGAAATTTCATATAAAAGGGTTTCTAAACCAAAATTTAACGTTGAAAGCCATGAAATAGTTAGGTTTTCTTAAAAAATTATTTACGCCCCGCAATACCGCATTTTTGAAATGGAAAATTAGAAACAAAATCGGATGATAGGATGAGTTTTTTGGAGCCGGTATATATGTATGATTTCCCAACATTTATACGTCTTGAACATAATGGCGAAAGCCTCCTATCAAAATATTTATGTGTGATTTTCGCAAGATATTTTCACTTTAAGTTTGTGAATGAAAAGAATCCAAATTTCAACAGGGAAAAAATTAAAAAATAAAAGATTTTTCGTAAATTCCTTTGATTTTTGTTACAGCCTGTTCTTTTAAAAAAAACATAAAGCTATCTTCGAAGAAAATGGATTTACAAATAAAGTTTTAAATGGTCAAGTGAAAATGCGTAATAATTTATTTTTCATAATTACATCAACAGCCATACAGGGCATGTGAGTAACATTCTTTCCTAGTCATATTTCATAAAAAAGAGATTGGTTTTCGTCGAACCTAGTGGTCGTTTTTTACATTTTTCGGTTTAATGATTTTTGGAGAGCTTTAATTTACTGGCATTAGGGTGGTACGTTAGGGTCATAACAGCTGAGATTTGGTGGATAAGTAGTATGATCATTGACTCGGCTTTTCCAAACCTCTTTTGGCCGATTCTCGTAATTGTGATTTTTTGAATATCGAATAAACCGTAGTTTGGTTAACGAAGAAACCGGGTTTTCATCTAGAATACTTCTACAACTGTATCTTAAATTCATTATAATTTTTTATTTGTTGAATTGCTAACAAAAATTGCGTTTTGGCTTTTCTCTCCGACGTCAGGATGTTGTTTAACAGGACTTTGTAGTTTCAAGATATGATAAATCCCAAAAATACTTCAAAAATTCAATATAAAATAAAAATGAACATTTTATTTAAGTAGACGGTGCCCCACCCTTTTAAATTTTTTTTTATTCATCTTTCTGTATGCAACATAAACTTTGTTAAAAAATTTCAGTAGTTGAGCCCGAAATGACTGACAAAATTTTCGGTTTTGCGTTTTTCAAAAATTTCTCAAGTTTGACATG